CATCAGCTGAGTTAAACAATTCTTTTTGTTTTTGTTTAGCTTATTTTTATTTTTTTAATGTTTATTTCTGAGAGAGAGATTGAGCAGGGGAGGGGCAGAGAGATCCGAAGTAGGCTCTGTGCTGACAGAGAGCCCAGTGTGGGGGCTCAAACTCCTGAACCATGAGATCATGGTATGATCCAGTGTCAGGTGTTTAGCTCACTGAGCCACCCAGCTGCTCTTCTCTTGGATTTACTCTTAAAAGAGTATTTTATCTCTTCAGCTATCTATAGTTTGTGACCAGATTGGGTTCCCAAATATCAAATGTTTAGGGATTAGGTAGTTAACCTTCCAACTCTGTCAGCTGAATGAGCTCTACCTTGCAGTGGACCTCTCTTAAGATTGTTGCTCTCATCTCAGGGGCTCTAAATTTTGTACTTTTTGTTGCTGGCTCTTATCTCTGAGGGTTGGTATCCTTTTACTTCTTTCCCCCATCATTGTCCCCAAAACTTCCAAAATAAACTTTTCCATTAGTTGCTTGTGTGTCCATTTGTTAGCAGAACTCTAATGTTCTTCCTTGGAAGAGCAATTACTAGATAATCCTTATGTCCTCCAAGGTTCCTATAGTAAACTAGATGAAGCTCCATTGTAGAGTTAAGAATACGTGGACTTCACAGTCCCAGAACTAGAACCCTGTATGTCTGTTACCTAGGACAACTTCTTAAGATCTTATTTCTCTTATCTTTATATATACCAGTGTTTACCACAGTATACTGATAATACAAAATTACAGATGTGAAAAGTGCATACAATATAAATCCTAGCTATGTTATGTTTTGTACATGGAAATTTCTCCCCTTATAGTCATCTAAATGTATTTGGAGAAACTGCTTTCTTACTGGACCTTTTTGGTTTGCTCTCTATTACCCTTCTTGCAGATTTCTGCCTGATACTCTTGCACCATGAGCATCTTTCTTCCTTTCTATACTTGTCTCGTATTTGATATTGCTTTCTTTTCATTAGTTTATTCAATAATTTCCTTGTGCAGAGCATCATAGTAAAACTGCACTCAAAGAATTTAAATACTACTTGTGGATAAGGTATTTAGGCTACTTGATTATTATCTTTATTTTGCTATTATTATTTTGTTTTCTTAGCTTTGCTAAAAAAAGAAATTATTGCCTTGTGAAGGAAGTTAGTTTTCAGTATACCTCTGCCCTTCAATTCTAGACAGTTCTTTTTTTTTTTTTTAAGTTTATTTATTTATTTTGAGAGACAGCATTTGTGTGTGCATGGGTGTGCGTTTGTTGGGGAGGGGCAGAGAGAGGGAGAGAGAGAATCCCAAGTAGGCTCTGTGCTGACAACGTGGAGCGTTGAGACATGAGACCACGATCTGAGGCGAAATCATGTTGTGTCTGATGCACAACTGAGTGAGTCACCATGGTGCCCCTAGACAATTATTTTTACATGGCATGTATAAATGTGTCTAACAAAGAGAAATTTATAACTGGTATTAGAGTAAAGCAAGAAACTGTCTTTTGAAGTAGATACAGATTTTTCTTTCTTTTTTAAAAATGTTTTTCATTTTAATAACTTTTTGCACGATACAGAAATTTAAAAAGGATATAATAGTATACATTGTCAGTTTAGTTAGGAATTGAGCTAGTTTTGTGTTCTGCTGTTGATACCGTCTTTAGTGTGCCATAATCTTCATATTTCTCTGTTTTTCAGATTTTAACAGTAACTGCTGTTGCCTTGTTCATAGGATACCCAAAGGGGATTTTCTCAGTACTCATGCTCTACCCTCAGCTTTCAGCTCTCTTGTTCTCTTGTGGCACAGAGCACTCCTACCCCACACTCTTGCCCCTCCATCTAGTGGTAGACTGGTGTTGCTTTATTGCCTTCTATTATAATGAGGGCATGAGGACTCTTTATTGTCCTAGTGCTAAGTCTTTTTTTTTTTTTTTAATGTTTATTTTTGAGAGAGATAGAGCATGAGTGGGGGAGGAGCAGAGAGAGAGGGAGATACAGAATCTGAAGCAGGCTCCAGGCTCCAAGCTGTCAGCACACAGCCTGATGCAGGGAGGGCTCGAACTCACAAACGATGAGATCATGACCTGAACCAAAGTTGGACGCTTAACTGACTGAGTCACCCAGGTGCCCCTAGTGCTGAGTCTTAATCATGCCTTTTGTGCCTGGAGCCCTTGAGGGACCCTCTCAGCTTTCCTGGCCATTATTTCTGTGACAGGCCTCAGGTGGTTTCCTGTCCCCTTCCCAATGCTATCAAACCTCTGGTTTGATATTGGTATTAGGATTCAGGGTCCAGGCCAGTGTTTTGTCTTATTCTCTCCCCCAGATGGAAGATTTCTTCTTTTACCTTCTCCTAGCTGCAGTGATTCTTTGCCTGGCTATGGTGGTGATTCAGTTTGCGGACTCACCTCCATCAGATTGTCTTTTAGTTTGCAGGGGACGAAAAGCCTGGAGATGTGAGCTAGGCTTCTTACCTTTCCCCCAGCAATTGAAGATCATCACCTGCAAGTCTGCACCAAGAGAGGTGCTCTGTGTTCTGCTCTGTCTCAGAATTTGTTTTTAAGTACCCACTTGAGACCTATGGAAAAGAGCTTTTGAGTGAGTGTAAACTCCTTGTTGTACCACTGTGACAAACTAGCTCACACTTCATCTTTGATAGTTCCTTAAAATTTTAGGCTCATATCTTCTTACTCATTTTTGTGGAGACCACCTTTTCTTCTTAGGCTGTGCCATACATGATAGAGCTTGTTTGTTTGATCTCTTCTTGGAGGGGCTTATTCTTTGGAATGATAATTACTTCAGTTCAAGATGGGCTCAAGAAAACTTTTGTTGTTGTTGTTGATTCAGCTTATTCTCATTGTTGGTAGATTTCCACATTCTAAGTGAAAGCCAAACCCTATTGTTATGCTTTTGGATTTGCTTTTAATGGTTTTTTTTTTAAATACAAAAATTAATGTTATGTGGTTGAACCTATTGGTCTTTTATGACTTCTAATTTTTGTATTGTGTTTAGTAAAAGACTTCCTCACCCTGAGAATATTCTCCCATGTTGTCTGCCATTTATTTTTCTTTTATTTTTTCCTTTTTTTTCTTTTTTACTGGTTTTAGGTGTTTTGATTCATTTAGGAATTAATTTTGGTGTAAGGTGCAATATCTGTCTCATTTTCTTTGTAACGAAAAGCCAAATGCACCAAAATCACTCACTGAAAAATTCATCTTTCTCCACTATTTATAATTCTACCATAACAGTAGGATTGATGCCTGTAAGTAGTAGAAAATTTGACCAGTAATGGCTTGAATTCACAGGAGTATATTTGTCTTATGCAAAATAAATCTGGGAGTAGGTAAAACATTATTGTACTGCATCTCAGCAGTGCAGAGACCTAGAGTTTTTCCGTCTCCTTCTGTCATTTTTATCTCCATACTTGTCCCCTTGATGGTTGCAAAATCACTGTTGAACATCCAGCATTACACATGAGTTTTAGATCACTGAGAGGGGAAGGGACAAAGGACTGAAGATGTCATACTTACCTAGTCTGGTCATGTTAAAGGCTTTTCCAGAAGCCCCACCTAACCAAATACATGTTTTTTCCTCAGATATTTCTTGCACATTATTTTCCAGACCACTAACGAATCTCCTATCATTAGTAGGACTATTCTTTCCTTCGATTCATTAGCTGAATTGTTTAATTAAGGTAGAAAATATTAGAGGTCTCTGGTTGGCTCAGTCCGTTGAGCATCTGACTCTTGATTTCAGCTCAGGTCATGATCTCATGGTTGGTGAGTTTGAGCCCTATGTCAGGCTCTGTGCTAGCAGCAGGGAGCCTGCTTGGGATTCTCCCTCCCTCCCTCCCTGTCTCTACCCCTTCTTCATTCACGCTATCTCTGTCCTTCTCAAAATAAGTAAATAAACTTAAAAAAAGTATTTGGAGTACCTGGATGGTTCAGTCAGTTGAGTGACTCTTGATTTTAACTCAGGTCATGATCTCACAATTCATAGGTTTGAGCCCTGTGTTGGGCTCTGTGCTTGCTGACAGTATGGAGCCTGCTTGGGATTCTCTCTCCCCTCTCTGCCCCTCTCCTGCTCGTGCTCTGTCTGTCTCTCTCTCTCAAAATAAACATGAAAAAAACTTTCTAAAGAAGTATTTAAATTAAAAAAAGAAAATATTAAATATATGCAGCTAATAACTTCACTCATAACTAATTTTCTAGCATAGTTTGGCCTAGAAAAAACCAAATAGCTATAAAATGAGAATATTCAGGCACCATGTTCACAGAATTTCTCATTCTTTGCCCTTGTGAATTTACATTTCTCTACCAAAATGTTTTAGGCTAGAGTAGGAAACCTCTAATTGGGTTCATTGTCAGTTTCATGTTTTAAACAAGATGACACAATCTGGTAATATCAAGAGCCCATATTAGATTTTTATTCTTTGAAAAGTTGATAAATCTGCTCTGTAAAATAGAGTTATAGAACCCGTATATTGTAAAACTGGAAGAGATAAGGTTGCAGTTTCGGATGTGAAAAATTAGGTTTGGACTTCTTAATGAAATGCTTATATTTTGAATCTCTCAATTCGTAAAAATTCTATTTAAAATAACTGAAAGATGCTGTATGCTACAGGAATCATGATTAGTTTGACCTGAATTCAGTAGCAGATATCCTTTCTAGTCTAAACTTCTTTAATATTTTTTGTTTCCTACTTCAAATTATCTCAACTAGGATACAAATTGGAATCACTTTTTTTTTTTTTAATGTTGGCTTAGAATAATGAATTAAATTCTGGTTCTCAGTAACAATTTTGAATACTTTATGAATTATTTAGTTGTGGGAGATCAAAACAAACAATAAATACAAAGTCTTCAGTGTACCTTCAATTTCTGTCCACATCTACTTTTGAGAAAAAAATGTTGGTTTATGCATAGGAAAAAAACTTTGATCAAATTGATATCATATGTCAAATTTAATAATGTCCTTTTTATCCTTTTTAGGACAGTGGTGATTATCCCCTTACCATGCCTGGACCTCAATGGAAAAAATTTCGTTCAAACTTTTGTGAATTTATTGGAGTCCTGATTCGACAATGTCAGTATAGCATAATTTATGATGAGTATATGATGGACACAGTAATTTCCCTTTTGACTGGTTTGTCAGACTCCCAGGTCAGAGCTTTTAGGCATACAAGTACCCTTGCTGGTAAGTAACCAACATTTTATTTCTTCTTCAGTTAGATTCGTTAAATGTTCTATTCCAGTTAAAATTTATTTAGATTAAGTATTTAAATTAATTGCTGTGCTCCTGAAAAATACCATCTCTCCCCTCCCCCAAATTCATCTGAATGGCTTATGTTATCTGTTTAGGTAAGAAATATGCTGATTTTGATAACTGGCATTTGATTGCCTTGAGAATGAAAATGGAAAATTTCTGGCAAATTTCAGTAAATTTGTCTCTCAACATTTAATTACTTTCATATATCATTATTTCATAATTCAGGATATTTTAGGAGTTCATTAGGCCATATTCTTTGATAAACCCCAAAATTAGTAGTTGAAGTTTGAGATTCAGTCTTTTTTTTTAGTTAATTACATTGCTTTATTGCTCATTATTATACCTAAGTGTATAAATTTTTGTTTGTTTTTATATTTGAAACAATTCCATCTAATTGCAATCACTGCACAGCCAGCATTCTTCTCCTGCTGTAATAACTTGATTGTATCTAACTGTAATGTCTCTGCAGTCAGTTCATTTAGGTTAGCTATAGATAATCTGAGGAATTGACAGATTAGTTTTCACTTTTATTTTCATTTTAGAATTATCTAGAGAGTTCTCAGCTAAGTATATTCATTTTTTCCTTGTTTCTTTCCATAACAAGGCAATTTTATTAATTTAGCAATTGTTCTATTTTCCCTCAACTACTTTAACTCTGCTTACCTAAAATGACTGTTCTTTTTGATCTGTGATGTTGAGTATACACACGTGTGTGTGTACATGCACCTATGTGTAAATACTCCCAGATTACATCCTTTTTAGTAGCAGTGACTTTATATTCATCTTACACATTATCATAAGAAACGCCAAATTTAATTTTGTTAATTACATTTCATCTTGCATTTACATTGTATTTCTCATTTATCAAATATGTTTGAAACCTTGGTTCTCAAACTTTTGCATGCATCAGAATCATCTGTGGAGCTTATTAAAACAGATTGCATGGACTTACCCCCAGAGTTTAACTTTAGGTTATACTGATGCTAATACTTTGGGGAATACACATTGCAAACCCCTGGTTTAAAATTTTGTCATATTCTGGCGTAATCAGTTGCCTAAAGCTGTATATTACCTTGGGTCATCCATATTTTTGTCCATTTCTCTTTTTTCATTTCTCTTTTTTTTCTTATTTTAATGTGATTAATCCATATTAGTGTCCATTATTCTTTTAGTTACATGTCTGTATGAAACATGAAACAGTTTAGTAAAACCTTGGATTGCAAGTAACTTGTTTGTGAGTGTTCCCTGAGACAAGCAAACATTTCCAATACATTTTAACTTGATAAATGAATGGTGTCTTGCAATACGGCATCAGTATGTGACCCCAAATGTCACATGATCATGACCGAGCCAGTGGTTCTTGAAATTTGCTTTGATATACAAGTGCTTTGGATTACAAGCATGTTTCTGGAATGAATTATGCTTGCAAACCAAGGTTTTACTATATTTGCTTTTGAGAGTAATATTTTTCTTATTATTAGGAAAAGAGGAATATCTACCCAATTTTTTTTAAAAAGGTAAAATAAAAATACAGTTATATTGCTGAAAAAAATTTCTGTACAGGACACACATCAGATACCTTAAATTCTGTGTTTTGAGAGTATTTTCTTCCTCATTATTAGGAAGAAAAAGAGATCTTATACCCAAGATCCTTTAAAGATACTGTAAATACACTATTATTTTTAAATTATCTGATGTTATACATTTTCCTTTCTAATTTCATGACTTTTGCTATCTTCTGCATTTTAGTTTGCTCTTTTTTTCTTTATATGTTCTATTTAGTTTTCATCTTCCTCCTATGCAGTAATGCCCATTTAGCTGGTTGTCAGATGCATGGTAAATGCAGCAGTTTGAAATAAATGGAACTAAACATAAAATAGAAATTCCTTCTAAATAGTCCAAGTTGCTCTCATAAAAAGTTTATATTTTCATCTCATAAGACCAGGAGAGAAAGGAGAACCAACAATGGAGGAATGAAGGAATGCCCAGTGGAGGGCAAATGTTAAATGCTGTCCTGCTGATAGAACTATGAAGTAATAATTTATACTAAAAAGAAAACAAAAGATTTTGCTTACAGATATTGAGAGAGAGAATAACCTGGAGCTTTTCTGTAGGGGCAAGGTACTTCTCTTTAATCCAGAAACCTGTGTGTATTCTGTATAAAAGATTAAATATATGCCACATACTGTATTTAAGAACATAAGAGAATAATATAGAATATTTTGACTTTTAAAATGTCTCAGTTTCCTGAAAAATGCACTTAATTTTCATTTGCATTTGTTCTCCACTACAGTGTAAACAAAGTATTACATTCTTTTACTGACTTTATAATGGTCCATTCCACCTCCTTTCCATTGGCCTGTTTTTAGTGACTTTTATTATTGTTTTCCCTATTTTTATCCTTTTCATGACCTATATATATGTTAATTTTAAATATTCTTAAATATATTTTAATTATGGCTCTTCTGTTCCTTTTGAGTTGAGTAGCTTCCTCCTCCTTCCAGTGCCTTTCTGTCTTTCTTTTCCCACAGTTTACCCGTGATCATGATAGCTTTTGAAACTGCTTGATAAATGCCATTTTGTTTTTACCTAAGCTCTTTGTATATCATGATCTAGCCTATTTCAATTTGAAATTATTTTTAAAAATATGATAAGAAAAATGGAAGGAGATCAACATTGTATTTCTACTGATTTTTCAAAAGTAGAAACTTAATTTTCAAGTCATTTTCAAATTTACTTCAAAATATTACTATATGACTAATTAATGATCGTATCTCCCAAGGCCCAGTTTCATAAAATGTGGGACATATCACCCACCCACCCACCTCTTACTGAGGACTTAATTCCAGACTAGATAATAATTATCCATATTTTCAAGAATTTTTTTTTTCTCATCTTTGCCCTCCTCTCTCTCTCTCTCTCTCTCTCTCTCTCTCTCTCTCTCTCTCTCTCTTTTTTTTTTAATGGTATGTATGCAAGGGGCAGATTAAAAGATAATCATTTTTATTCACTTTGCAGGACGAGTCTTGGGGACTAGATAAAATGGGCAGGAACATTTAATCCTCTGCTTCAAAGACTATGTGCATGGACAGTTACAAGGCAGTTATGGCCAGATATGATTATCGGCTTTGGAATAAAATGCTCCTTGACATTGCTTATATCTTAGCTGAGAAGAGAGACAATCAGGTTAGTTGTTCTGTAGGGTACAGATGTGATGAGTTGCAGAGCTTGATAAGTCATCAGAGTGATCTTATCAGTAGCACTTTTAATTGGTTTTCCAGATAACTCATTTTCTTATTCAGTTAAATAATGTCTCCCGTATTGTCAGTGTTTATGCATTGCATTTAATTGTATACTTTTTACCATATTTTTATTGAAAATTTTCATCATTCTGTAGTTCTTTAGGTCTGTTTATTCTACAGTTACAGTAGTCTCGTTTTTCCATTGGAGGTAAACTATGTTTCCTCTTTATTGAAATTCTTTTTGCTGTTAAATTTGAACACACTGTTAGCTATTACATTTTCTATTTTCCTTATTATTTTTTCTGTTCTCTTAATTGGAATTTTAAAACATGCTCTCCAATTTGTTTGAGGTAGTACTTCAGGTTGCAGTACAGTTTTCATTAACTATTAATCTTTAGAATTAAGTGCCCTTATTTCTGTTCTAAATAGCTTCCTCAGTTGCACATATTGGAACATAGTTTGTGGATGTAATTTAAATAACATTTTGTCCTTATTTTGGTGGATTTAGAATCTGAGACTGGGCACATTTATTTATTCCTCAATTTGATGAACTTTTCATGAGGTAATAATCTGTCTTTTTTCCTCGAAGGTCAAAAAAAAATAGCTTTGTTGTTTGGTGTTATGAAGATAATTCTACTCTCAAAGAATCTTTTTCAGATCTATAGTTACATTATTTTTAGACATTTGCTTTAAAAATGTATGCCAATACTTCATAAAGTGTTTATTTCTAATTTTTGTTAGGTGGTAATTTGTAGGATAAGTAATGTTGATGTAACATTTTTTTTTCTGTTTTCTCACCGATATGATTTCCTATTATATTACAAATAGATTAATATTGGCTACCACTCACTACTAAGGTGAAAATGCAAATTTGGACAAAGAGGATTAAGAACACAAAATTATATTAATAATAGCATGGTGATTTATTCTACTTTTTTCTGAGATGAATTCTGGGAAAATTAGAAAATGTGGTTAAGATCATCATATGAGAGTCAAGTGGTCTCAGTATGCTGGGTAGCCAGACTTGACCACTGGTGAAGTTAATCGGTCACTCTCAGACCCTTGGGGGAATAAACATTTCTTTATACCTTATTGTTTAACATTATTATGTTTACATATAGTTAATTTTATATTGACGTATGATTCATTGCTGATTATCATTTCTTACGAAGTCACAGTCTCTAGACTTCTACTCTGAAGAAATATACAATATATGAAATTGCTTTGCTCTCCAGTCATAGACTGAACATCACTTTGCATCAGTAAATTGGCATCTTTTCTTTCACTTTCAGTTGCTGAAACCATATAATATAGTGGTTCACACCAGACTGTCTGGATCCACATCCCCACTGCCTTTTACTGGTTTGGTAACTTGGACAAATCTTTAACTTTCCTGGCCTCACTTTCTTCACGTGCAAAGTGAGGAATATCATAATAGTGATCTCATTAAGAGAAATTAGGAGAGTCGGGGGCCTAGGTGACTTAGTTGGTTAAGCATCTGACTCTTTTCAGCTCAGGTCATGATCTCATGGTTTGTGGAATTGAGCCCCTGTCATGCTCTATGCTGAGCATCAAGCCGTTTGGGATTCTCTCTGCCCCTCTCCTGCTCAGGCACACTTGCTCTCTCTCAAAATAAATAAAAAAGATTAAAAGAAAGAAATTAGGAGAGCACAGACCAGTGCCTGA